GTTGGCGAAAGAAAGTTATTGGGTCCTAAATATGTCCAGATTACTGCTGAGAAAGTAAAGATAATTAAAGAAAAGTTAAAGACTGCCCAAGATATACAGAAGAACTATGCAGATAGATGTAGAAGAAACCTTGAATTTGATGTCGGGGATAGAGTTCTCCATGCGGTTGTCGCCATGGAAAGGTGTTATCAGATTTGGTAAACGAGGTAAATTGAGTTCAAGGTATATTGGCCCATATGAGATTGTTGAACGCATCGGTCCAGTTGCGTATCGATTGGCTTTGCCAACAGAATTGTATAGAATTCATGATGTATTCCATGTTTCTATGCTTCGTAAGTATATTCCAGATCCATCTCATGTTTTGGAATCACAACCAGTAGAACTGAAGGAAAATCTTGCCTATGAAGAAAAACCAGTTCAGATATTGGATAGGAAGGAACAGGTTTTGTGTAGTAAGACTATTTCATTGGTTAAAGTCTTGTGGAGGAATCATGCTATAGAAGAAGCGACATGGAAAAGTGAAGAGCAGATGCATCCCCAGTATCCCCAGATTTTTCGTACTTAGTTGATCGAATTTCGAGGACGAAATTCTTTTAAGGGGGTAAGTTTTGTAATACTCTAATCAATTCACAAAGAAAAGTCAAACTTAAAAAAAAAAAAAAGATAAAAATTGTGAATGTTGTAATTTAAAATAAAATTTGACCAAATACGGACAAAATTTGTATCCTTTCATGAAGAAAGGAGTGACAGAATTACATTGGTAAGAAACAAACAAAGAGGATTTCATCTCTTATTCACATTCACAGTTGATATTTACACCAAAGTTAGAAACGTTTATGCCAACAATAGTAATTGCTTTGACCGTGCATTTAAGGCATTACATTACTCATATATATATATATATATATATTAGGTGTTATAAAATATTTTTAAATTTACATACAAAAGAAATAAATTAAAACTTCATTCGAAGTGTAAAAATATATTATTATTAACTTTAGAAACTAACTGATTCTCTTGTGTGTTATTATCTTAATATTTAACCACCAACACGAATAAGCCCCTGTTTCGTATAGCTAAGTATCCAATTTTTAATAAAAATTGTATAAGAAATTTTTTATTAAAAAAATTAATCTCCTCCAAACCAGGAGTAGAAAGAAAAATAAAATAATGAACCAGTAGCCTGCGATTAAAAAATAAACAACAACATAATTATGGAACATGTTCATACATTAAAGCACGCGAAACTCTACGAACATTTTATCCAACTAAACTGAAATTAAGATACAGAAGTTCCAAAGGTGCACAAACCTACATTATCCAACAGTTTTTCCTTCAATTATCTTGGCTACCCTTGATGTGATGCTGCCCAAATTGCTCCACCTTCTCCTTCATATCATGAGCAGTATGCGCAAGCTTTTCTCTAGCCCGATCGAGCTCGTCCGCCCCGATTGGGTGTTTCCCAGTTGCATATCTATACATCCAGTAAAATACAAAACTGGCAGATGCACCAAACCCTCCTGAAGCCAAGAACCCTGCAAATATCAGAAACAAGGCTATGGCAGCGGGGACAAGAACCGGGCTGAAGATTACAAGCAAAGGGGTGGCCAGCACTAAACCTATGACTGTGGCCGCCAGAGTTAGCCCGGATAGAACCATGAGGAAGCCACCGATTGTGACGGCGGCGGTGGTCTTGGCTACCTGATGAGAAAGCTGATGCTGTTGTGGCTGCCCACGGCCATAATACTGTTGATTTTGAGCCATGATGAAAAATCGAAATGGAAACGAAATTGGATTTTTAGTGCATGTGAGAAGATCGGTGATGGGATTACGTAGCGAGTGTGTTGTATATATAGATAAGAGGTGAAATGTATGGAGAAGAGGATAAAGATGTTACGTGTTGGATGTTTGTATCACCCATGGTGTTGCTAGACAAAAAGTGCTTTTGTAGCTTGACACGTATCATTTCTTCTTCACCTTCTTAAGACCATGTTCGTTCGAGCTTATAAGTTACATAAGTACCGTTGTAACTTATTCTTTCGGACAAACATGGGTTTGTCTAAATCCAACTCGATCCACGGAGCCACTGATGTTGAAAAAGACCAATTTTCTTTTCACTTTGAATATTTATTGTTTTATTTTTTTAAATTAGAGATCAAAACTCATTTGACATGGTTTTCATTCTATTTATTTTTTGAAAGAGAAGTATCAGTAGGGATGAATTGCCCTAGTAAATAGAATGTTGAGGATAATAATGTCAATTAAAAAAAAAAATTGTGTACAAAAATTGGCATTAAACATTAAAGGTCCTTAAGAGCATCTCCAGAGTGTTACAGGAATTTCTAATAGGTGACATACAAGTAGAAGATATCTATATGGTATCGATGAATAGACAGCTATAAGGTCAAAATTCACTTCCAATGCATTTCATATCCAATGTAAATATATAATAATAGAGAGGGGAAAAAAGAGAAATGAGAGAGAGAAATTAATTTTCAGTGACTCACATGGACCAACAGAAACTCTACATTTAGATGAACATCCTCTTTTTTTTTTTTTGGTCATGTCAATTAGACAAAATCACACTTAAGATTGCATTGGAGAGAAATTTTGCAAACGTTATCTATTTTGCTTATGTAATCTTTCAATCCATGTTAGCATTGGACATGCTTTAATACCTGCTTGTAACCAATCTAATGGGATGTCATGGTACTGTTTTCTAAGGGGTAAATTTTTCGTTGAAGATTTTGGATCTGCATTGTGATTTTATGTCCTAGAAGTTTTCAATTACTTTGTTCGAGTCTCAACCTATATTTGGCTTATGTTTATAAACACTTAGATTACTTTTTATATGCAATGACAATTACATTTTATAGTTAATATTGTATATTGTGAATTTCTTTATTTTTGTTATTTTCTTTTGTACATTTTTTATTATATTTATTAATTGAAAAATTATTAAATGGTTATAACAACCAAATATTGGTTGCTGATGGTGCAACTTTACCGAGATATTGATCATTTTTTACTATCTTTTTACCGATCCAAAATTGTTCGCAGAAGGATACAAATAAACCAACTTTTTACCTCAAATCTAGCATTTACCGACCATTGTGAGGTTTCTGAAGTGCGATAATTTATTTATTATTTTTCTTTTTTCTAATTCATTTACCGACCAACATTTGGTTGCAAAAGGATGAAGTTAAACAACTTTTTACCCCAAATATGGGTCTCAAGATAATAGTTCTTTTCTAAACCTTTAAAGGTTTACGAAGAAAATGTGCTACTCCGATGTCCAATAGGTTTATATATGGTATGCAACCAAATTCCCTACAATGAGTTCTATCAATAATTCAAAGTTAGATTCCAAGCTTAGTCACATGGACGCACAAGATAGATTTTCAGTCGAAGTGGAAAAAAAGTGGTAGACTTAACTTGAGTTGGATCAATATGGTTCAATAAATCCTTAGTTGACTCTTAATGTGGTAGCTCATGACGTAATGGAAAATTTGAGTCTTGATAAAGTATGTAGTCCTTTATTGATTTTAGGAAGAGAAACTGATAGGGTATCCCTAAAGGGGACTAAGATGATGTGGTACTTTGTTCTAATGAGATTGTAAAAAGGTTGGAACAGAGCTTCATATCGACTAAACATGAAATATATAGTGAGTTTATAAGAGGATTGAGCTACTCCATTCCAACTAACTATTAATATTACATTTTGGAATGAAACTTTATTTCTCTATACTAATTTCAAATGTTTTTATGCCTAATATTCAATGCATGCATATTTGGTACATAGTATCAAATAATATTTGATTGGACAATAAAATAAATTTTAAAATTTTTGCCTATACAATCGTCCCTATCGACTCTCCACAAAAATTATGTGGCTAAAATATGTTGAGAGTTTGGAATCTTTACAAATCAAAGAATCCCATATAAGTGGACTCATATCTTATATTTTTGTTAATCTTATGTTTTTGAATATTACTTGTATGTTTGAATCTTTTTTTTCCCCAATTATTTTTCAAGGAATTATATCTAGCACATATTAGTGTACTCTTCGTGGACGAGGGTCATGGTTCCGTGTTTGTTGTTCATGAAGAATTTGGATATAATTAGGTCCTAGCCAGCTAGATTGTTAGGTACTAGCCAGCTAGATTGTTATTGGCTTGTTTGTCATTTTTTACCAACTTTTTATAGCATAAACATCGTTGTATTATTTATTAGTTTGTGTGACCCACTCGATTCTTCACATTATCTTAAATCCTCTTTAATTAATGATTAAGCTACATACTAGAGCAATTATTTTTTTCCGGACTATCCTCAACAACATAACCAAAATAATAGTTCAATAATGTGTTGTGAAGGACCTAACACAGAATCCTTATAACACATTAAACGTGCGCTTCTCTAATACCAAAATTTTGACCTACATTACTAGTCCTCTTCAAATAGCTTAACAACCACTTTCAGGCTTCTCAATGCTCGGGGCCTGGATTAGACATGTACCTACTAAGAGTACAAATAATAAAAGCTAAATCCAGTCAAGTTCAAACCATCAAATACATAATAGATCAGTCACATTGGAATATGGAATTCTACTCATATATTCTATTTCCTTTTCATTACATGGAGCATGATCTTTAGATAACACAAAATGATTAACTAAAGATAAATGTAACAAGTTTGCAATTATTTATGTCAAATATTTTCAAAATCTTTGATACATAAGGATTGATACAAAAACAAAGCATAATTTGACCTATCCCTTTCAATTTTCATACCAAAGATTCTCTTAGCTATACCTAAATCTTTGATGTCAAATTTGCCATTCAAGATTATTTTTATCGTACTTATCTAATTAGGTGAAGAACTAACTAAAAACATATCATCCGCATAAAGCAATAAGAGCAAGTGATCATTATTAACATCATCATGTTGAAAATACAAGAAATGATCAAACTTACTTCTTTGAAATTGAAAAGCATCATATTTTTTATAATGTTGTCCAGATGACTGTCTTAAGCCATATAAAGACCTTTTAAGAAAACACAAATGATCATATTTTACTTTGTCCTTAAAACCTCTTTGTTGATTCATAAAGATTTGTTCATCAAGTTCATCATGTAAAAAAATAATTTTTACTTCAAGTTGTTCAAGTTCCTAGTCAAAATATGCAACCAATGTAATCAAGACCCTAATAATGTACTTAACAACTTGTAAAAAAATCTCATTATAATCAATATCATATTTCTGTGTGTATCCTTTAGCTACTACCGTATCTTTTAACCTTAAGGAATCAGATGCACTATTACATTTTTCTCAACTTTAAAAACCCACCTACAATCAATGGTAGATTTATTCTTAGGTCTAGGTATTATTTCTAAAGTTTGATTCTTTTCTAAGGAACAAATTTCCTCTCTCATTACCTTATGTCGTTCACTTTTCATTATCGCCTCAAAGGTGTTCGGCTATCTATTAGCTAGCTCCTCATAGCTAAAGTAGGTAAAAGCCAATTCAGATTCATATTCAAATCTTCTAAGCTCTCTCGTCTATCTCTTCTCTTTATCCCTAACTAAATTATAGTCTACTAAGGGATTTTATTCCTCAGGATGATTCTCTATCACTATTTCCTCTCTAGTCTCCACCTCATTAGGAGTGGCAAGAACATATCGCTAATTTTTCCTAACTCCATTTTCAATTGATCTCTCACTTCGGCTTGATTTTCTTCACTTATAGGTTAAGATTCGGTTTTAAGAAAAGGCATTTTAGCCTCATTAAAATTAACATTTCTACTCATGGTGATCTTAACCCCCTTTTGACTTCTATCGTATAACATGTAACCCTTGACACCCTCATAGTACATTTTCTAACTCTAGTTTCAAACTTTTTTCACTTTGATGAGAAAATGTAGCACAATCAAAAGTTTTAAGCACAGACAAATCACTTAACTTACTAGACCATTTTTTATGAGGAGTATCACCATTCAATACAGAATATGGAGTTGCATTAATCAAATAACAAGTAGTCATAACAATTTCGCCCCAAAATGACTTTTGACCTCTAGAACTTAACATCATCCATTGCATTTTATCAAGTATAGTTCTATTCATCCTTTCCGCTAACCCCTTTTATTGGGGAGTGTAAGAAACAGTTTTATGCCTTGTTATTTCTTTTTCTTTGCACATATTATTAAATTTAGTCTTCCAAAATTCTAAGTCATTATCAATTCTCAAAAACTTTATCCTTTTGCAAGTTAGATTCTCAACTTGCATTTTCCAATTATTAAAGTTATGAAAAGTGTTAAACTTTTCATTTAAAACATAAACCCGCACTTTTCTCATGTAATCATCAATAATAGACAAGAAGTGCCTATTCCACCAAAGGTAGGATTACTAGCAGGATCTCAAAGTCTGAATGCACATATTCAAGCATGCCTTTTTATTTTGTGAACATCCGTTGAAAAAGAAGTTCTATGATACTTATCAAGTACTTAGTGATCACATAATGATCAATCAAACAAACAATCATTAGAAAATGCACCATTTTCATTGAGAAACTTAAGTCCCTTAATAACTACACATGCAAGTCTATTGTGCCATTTTTGTGTTAAACCTTGGCAGAAGAGATAGATAAATCTAAACTTCTTATCACTTCTGTAGTAGTGATATAAATATTATTTTTCTTATTTCCCTTAATGGAAACAAGTGCACCCTTAGCCATTTTCAATTTTACTAGTAAAGTCAGCTTTCTCGAGTTTCCTACTGAAAATAAATTCCTCGATAATTCAAGAATGTATCTAACATCTTTCAAAGTATATAAAAAATCAGTGTCAAACGTTAATGTAATATTACTAATCCCAGC